GTTTGATATGAGTGAGAGACAGAGAGGAGGAGCGCAAACATAAAACCATGCCCTCTATTCAATATTCCATTTCAGCTGGAAATACGTCACTACACTGAAATAAAGTCGACAGCAACTTCCGGTTCACGCGGACTTTAAATAGCAATGTTCATCATAAATAAATGTATAGCCTACTGGTGTAACTTGTTTAATGGATTTATTTATTTCTTTTTTATACAAAGATAAGTGTTTCACATGATATGGTCTACATATAGTATGTAATAAAGTCATGCATTAAAACATGTTTTGTTTTGTTTTGTTTTGTTTTATTTTAAAGAAAGACATTTTTTACAGTTTAATCCTGAAGATTCTCCCAGAAAGTTTCCCTGCTGCACTCAATCTCAGCTCTCGGGCCCTGGGGCCATTGATTTTCCCCTCGAGACGTTATTGATCCACAAGGAGAAAACAACATTGTTTTTATATTCTCCTATTGACAGTGTATTCTGTTGTATGATGCCAATAACCTGTTTATTGACTGTTTAAAAGGAGCTGACTTTGGATCATTAAATGTACAGCGTGAGTACATACCTGTTTGTACAGAGCGCAGATATGGAGAGCCGTATTCCCAGATGCATTTTCCACATGCATGTCAGCTCCGTAGAACAAGAGATGCTCCAGGTGCTGAATGTGGCCGTATCGACAAGCCTGACGAACAAAATAGGAACAACAAGTTTCACACAGCATGACATTTTAGTGGGAAAAATGAGCAAACGGATTTTATAACAGTTTCTGCTAAAAGAAAAGCTTTTGTGAGCCTTTCAAAAATTCATGCAGAAGTCTTTTGAAACATAAAAACATTATTAAGCCTTCAGTACGCTGTCATCTCATATTTTTCAAAGGGTCTAAAAGTAAACCATACATGCTGCTTTCTGTTTTCCCAGTAGAGTGTGATCAAAAACACCACGGAAACAATTTGACTGGCATCCTGCAGTCCACCTGTCACAACACTAGATGTCAGTACGCCGTCACAACAGACGATGCCTTCAACTAGTTTGATCTCGTCATCTGTTCGTTAATTGAACAAAGCTGCTGTCATATTAAACTGCAGCTCTATTATGCATATATTACCCCACGCTCAACATTTTTAGCCAACAGAAAGCTTTTTCACTGACTGTCACCATGTGAAAGACAGCGGCACCTGGTGGATCTCGTGCCAGCCGTTCTCATCGTGGCATCCCACGCTGGCATGGGCTCGCAGAAGGACCTCGCAGCAGCTCGGGTCTCCCCCTACAGTCACTGTGTGGTAGAGTGAAGTCAAACCCTGCTGGTCCTTATAGTCTGGAGACGCTCCCAAATCCAACATAGTCTGCAGAGAGAAAAGAGGATTAGGTTTCCTTCAGAGAGGAAAATACGCCAAATATGATATTATGATTATGTTTTAGCAGAGCCTTGTTTTTTGGAAGGGTCTTAAAGGATGAAAGGACTATTTTTTCTGTTGGGACTTTTTCAGCGTTTTTAAAGGGGTGGTTGATTGCGATTTCACTTTTTAAACGTTAGTTAGTGTGTAATGTTGCTGTTTGAGCATGTACTGTATTAAAGCTTTAATCAGGACAAAACCGTATATTAAAAGCTAACATAAGCAGTAGAATTGACAAATAACAGCATATCTAAAAGTACGAGACAACGACAAACAAAAAACATAGGCCTACCATTAAAAGCCGTGCTTGCACAGGTTCTTTAGCCAATCACAACACACTGGGCTAGCTAACCAATCAGAGCCCATCACCTATTTCTGAGGGCGGGGCTTCATAAAAACAGGAAAAGATCAGCCCGTTTTTCAGAGAAGGGACAGAGCCGTGTGGAATAAAGGTAAATTATGTGAAAAATATTGAGTTTTTTAAAAAACAAAGCATTAACACATGTTAGACTGCACCCCATAAACACAATCAAGCCTAGAAAAAAGCCAGTGAACCACCCCTTTAATGTTCATGTGTGACAAGACAAATGAAAAATAAAGGCTTCTTTTCTTTTACACTACAGTTTAAAAGTTTGAGGTTGGTAAACGTTTTAATTGTTTTTGAAAGAAGACTCTCATGCTCAACAAGACTGCATTTCTTTTTTTTTTTTGGTAAAAAATACACTAAAAAGTTGTGAAATATTTCTATTTTAATATATTTTAAAATATAATTTATTCCTATGATGGCAAAGC